GCCAACATAGCAAATCCCCATCTGTACTAAAAATACAAAAAAAAAAAAAAAATTAGCTAGGCATTGGTGGGGCATGCCTATAATTCAAGCTACTTGGGAATCTGAGGCATGAGAATTGCTTGAACCCAGGAGGCAGAAGTTGCAGTGAGCCGAGATGGCACCACTGCACTCCAGACTGGGTGACAAAGTGAGGCTCCATCTCAAAAAAAAAAAAAAAAAAAGAAAAAAAAGAAAAAAACAAATAATATGCTGACAGATGACCTGAGTTCTCATGAAACTTCCTAAATGATGCCATTTCAATCCATAAATAATGGACTCTTTAGTTCTTTGCTGCTCTTAGAAAGACCAATGCTGTAGCTTTCTGCTAAACATTTTCTTATTAAGCTTTGCCAGCATCCTGAGCTTGTTGGTTTTTATGGCTTAGTGTACCCTCCTCTTAGGTATTTCTTTTTTTTTTTTTTTTTTTTTTTGAGACGGAGTTTCGCTCTTGTTACCCAGGCTGGAGTGCAATGGCGCGATCTCGGCTCACCGCAACCTCCGCCTCCTGGGTTCAGGCAATTCTCCTGCCTCAGCCTCCTGAGTATTTCTTAATCACCAGACTCTCAGACACTACTTTCAAACAAATGAGTAAGGCCCCCTGGGGGTCTGAAAGAGCTGCCAAACCCTTCAGAGTGATTCGGCTGATGAAAGTGGGAGCCAGAGGTCGGGAGGTGTGTTCTCATTGAGCGCTGTTTCCCTGGGTTCCTGGGCTCTAGTACTTGTTCCACAGAAGCGAGTTCAATTGTCCAGGGCTACTGCCAGCAACACAGAGCCTGCCAGCCCTGTCCTTGTGTTTGTAGGGATAGGCACAATTTGTTAAAATACTATTCTATTCTTGGAAGGCAAATGTGGGAGGATCGCTTGAGCCCCGGAGTTCAAGGGGGCAATGAGCTATGACTGTGCCACTGCATGCCAGCGTAGGTGACAGAGTGAGACCCTGTCTCAAAAAAAAAAAAAAAAAACATACATCATACACACACACACACGTGCGCGTGCACGTGCGTAGATCTATTCTGCTTGGGCCAATAAATGGGCCAAAACAAGATAGAAAGCAGGGGTAACCCCAGGGTTACTTCTAGATCAAGCAAGAGAAAAAAAACATCAAATCCAGATCTAGAGGCGAGGTCAGAGCACATTAATGAGAGGTTATTCAAAAAGGATAGTGATTGAATTTTTTTAAAAGAGGGGTGGGGTGTTAATAAGTAGGTGCTACCATCCATGGGCAGAGGGAATTCAGGAACAATGGGCAGAGTCTTGGAAGTAACAGAATGGGTAAATGCAGGATAGGGCAACTGTTACCAAATGGGAGGGAGCAGCGGGGGCGGAGTTGGGAAGTGAACGAGTTAAGACCTAACAAAAGAAACAGGACTGGAGGGAGACAGTCTGTTCTCTGCCCATCTTGGATCCAGGCTGTCCTCTGTGCAAACAGATGGCTCCAGTCTACATCTCTGGCTCCAACTTCTCTCCTTAGATCAATTCCACAAATCCATTTTTTTTCTTTTCCTTTTTTTTTTTTTTTTTTTTTTTTTGAGACGGAGTTTCGTTCTTCTTGCCCAGGCTGGAGTGCAATGGCGTCATTTTGGCTCACTGCAATCTCTGCCTCCCAGGTTCAAGCAATTCTCCTGCCTCAGCCTCCCAAGTAGCTAGGATTACAAGCGGACGCCACCATGCCAAACTAGCTTTTTGTATTTTTAGTAGAGACGGGGTTTCTCCATGTTGGTGAGACTGGTCTTGAACTCCCAACCTCAGGTGTCCACCCCCACCCCACCCCCACCGCCTCTGCCTTCCAATGTGCTGGGATTACAGGCGTGAGCCACTGCACCCAGCCACAAATCACTTTCTATTGTCTAGAGAAATGTTCCTTCTACTACTGTCCAGAGAAATGAATCATTCTCTACAGGATGAAAACAGAAAAAGAAGGAAGCAGTTGTCCTTGTCTAACCAATCAGAGTAGAAATTACCCCCGGCCATCAGTGGGGGGACATAGATTTGGAGGGCAGATTGCATTTTTAATGGCTTTATTAACCAAGTTCTTTTTTAAAAATTTAATATTTCCTTCATGAGCATTTCTCTAATCTTGAAGAGTACTCACTTAAAAAATTTACTGGGCTGGGCACCGTGGCTCATGCCTGTAATCCCAGCACCTTGGAAGGCCACGGAGGTTGGATGGCTTGAGCTCACGAGTTTAAGACCAGCCTGGGCAACATGGTAAAACGCTATCTGTACAAAAAATTAGCCGGGCATAGTTGTGCGCTCCTGTGGTCCCAGCTACTTGGGAGGCTGAGGTAGGAGGATTGCTTGAGCCCAGGAAGCAGAGGCTGCAGTGAGCTGAGATCATGCCACTGCCCTCCAGCCTGGGTGACAAAGCCAGACTCTGTCTCAAAAAAAAAAAATTATTGAAGTGTAACATATATATGGAAAGTTGCACACATCTAAAGTGTACATCTTGAAGGATTTTCATCAACTGAACACACTCATGTAGACAGCTTCCCAGAAGTAACCCAATAAAAAGAACTTTTTTTGTGGCAGAATCTCTGACTATTCCCAACTCTGGGGAACCCCATTTAACTACTTTGTCTCCTCTGAGCTACTGAGTATGGTGAGAGAAAGTACAGGACCCTTCTGATTAAGGCCACTACAAGTTTTGGTGTGTGTGTGTGTGTGTATATATGTGTGTGTGTGTGTGTGTGTTTTAATAGAGATGGCGTCTCCCTGTGTTGCCCAGGCTGGTCTCAAACTCCTGGGCTCAAGAGCTCCGCCTGCTTCAGTCTCCCAAAGTGCTGAGGTTACAGGCATGAACCACTGCACCCCACCAAGGCCACTACAAATCCTTGCCATCTCTGTTTATCAAGACTCTCACTGCTTGTCATGTTACGTTCTGAGTGCTAAGACTGGGCTTGTTGTTTGCCTTCGTGTTAATCAGTGATATTCATCTATAACTTTCTAAGTGATCTATAGCTTCCAACTTAGTATTATCTTTGTGAAGTTTAAACGATTCAAAGTGTATTAGTCTGTTCTTGTACTGCTGTAAAGTACTACCTGAGGCCAGGCGCGGTGGCTTACTCCTGTAATCCCAGCACTTTGGGAGGCCAAAGTGGATGGATCCCTTGTGGTCAGGAGTTCAAGACCAGCCTGGCCAACATGGTGAAACCCCAACTCTACTAAAACTACAAAAATTAGCTGGGCATGGTGGCATGTGCCTGTAGTCCCAGCTACTTGGGAGGCTGAGGCAGGAGAATTGCTTGAACCTGGGAGGTGGAGGTTGCAGTGAGCTGAGATCGTGCCACTGCCCTCTAGCCTGGGTGACAGAGCGAGACCCTGTCTCCAGAAAAAAAAAAAAAGAAGAAGAAGAAGAAGAAGAACCACCTGAGACTGGGTAATTAATAAAAAAAAGAGAAGTTTAATTGGCTCATGGTTCCACAGGCCATACAGGAAGCATGGCTGTACAGGAGGCCTCAGGAAACTTACAATCCTGGCGGAAGGTGAAGAGGAAAGAGGCACATTTTACATGGCTGGAGCAGGAGGAAGAGAAGGACAAGGGAGGTGCTACACACTTTTATAAACAACCAGATCTTGTGAGAATTCACTCACTATTACGAGAACAGCAAGGGAGAAATCCACCCTCATGATTTAATCACCTCCTACCAGGCCCCTCTTCCAACACTGGGGATTACAATTCAATATGAGATTTGGGTGGGGACACAAACCCAAACCATAGCAAAAAGCTTATTTGCAATTTTACAGTTTGAAAAGGATAAGAAGGATGGGTTTGGAATACTCAACAAGCTGTAATACCTGTACAATGCTTTGTATGGTGGGATAGATGTCACCCTGGGTAAGCAGATGGTTTTACGTAGCACACAAACAGTTTCTTTTATTTGAACGAGCCTGTATTTCTTTAGTGAGTACTAGAGTAAAATAGAATTAGTGCACCAAACCCAATTTTCATCACTGCCATTGCTTAGAAGAGGGGTAAGTTTTATAAGTAAGTTGAATTAAAGTTGATTAAAGAAAAATGGTAATTACATAGGAGTACAGGTGACCTGCAGATGTGGCAGTAATTTCTAAGTGCTAAATGACGTTGCTACTGCATAATTTAGAAGTCCCGATATCTTTCTTTCTTTCGTTCGTTCTTTTTTTTTTTTTTTTGAGACAAAGCTTCACTCTTGTTGCCCAGGCTGGAGTGTAATGACGCGATCTCGGCTCACTGGAATCTCTGCCTCCTGCGTTTAAGCAATTCTCCTGCCTAAGCCTCCTGAATAGCTGGGATTACAGGCATGTGCCACCACTCCTGGCTAATTTTGTATTTTTAATAGAGACTGGGTTTCTCCATGTTGGTGAGCTGGTCTCAAACTCTGACCTCAGGTGATCCACCTGCCTCGGCCTCCCAAAGTACTGGGATTAGAGGCATGAGCCATTGCACCCAGCAATCCTGACACCTTTCTCTTGGTGTATTTTAAATCCTAACAGGAAGAAACAGAGGAAGTTATGTAGGATATGCCAAGGAAACAAGAATCAAACTCACCCTCAAACTTATATTGAAATACTGTTTACTTCCTGTTATTGATCTCTTTGTAAGACATGTTTATCAGTCAGCTTTGTATTTGCCAACTATGTAAATAGTTATCATGTCTTAGGTGGGTTTTCAGTTTTTTAACATAAATCTGGGAATAATATCAGCCATTCTATTTTTAGGGCAAATTTTTTTCAAATTTTCAAAAAAATTTTAACAGATGGGGTCTCCCTCTGTCATCCAGGCTGGGGTGCAGTGTCACAATCACAGCTCACTGCAGCCTCGAACTCCTGGGCTCAAGAGATCCTTCTTTCTCAGCCTCCAGAGGAGCTAGGTCTTTAGGTGCCTACACCATGCCCAACCAATTACATACATATATTTTTTGAGACAAGGTCTTGCTATGTTGCCCAACCTGGTCTCAAACTCCTGGCCTCAAGTAATCCTCCCACCTCAGCCCCGTAAAGTGCTGGGATTACAGGCATGAGCCACTGCACCTGACCCAAATTTACAAATTTAGACAAAATTTTGAAACTTATGAATGGGTATGAATCTCTAGTTCATGTAACAAACCAATATGATAATGAGTTAGGTTTTGTTTTGGTTTGGTTTTGTGTTGCTAAAGTTCCCATTCCAGGATCAGGTGGGCCAACTGAACACTCAATTTTGGGGTGTCTATATATAGAGTATTTGCCATCTGGTTCATTGCACCTTGTGCTTTTATGTTTCACTTTACTTAATCTTTTCTTCCACATCTAGGCTGTAAACCTAAAGGGAAGAAACCACATCTTTTTCCTTTTTGTATCCTCAGCATCAGCAGAAGAGCTTGCTAAAGCAGACACACACATCCCTACTGCAAGTCATTTGGTATATTCATCCAAAACTTTAGAAAATTTTTTATTATGGAAAAGCTCAAATGTATGCATCACTGATGCCTCATCTGGTGCTGAGTGTGTGATGGACTATATTGTTTGCTGAGAGCCACAGCAAGGAAAACTGAGCCGGCCCCCAAAGCAGAAAACTGCTCAGGGTGTTCTAAAGTAGTAAACAGTATGTCTATATTACACACCAGTTAAACTAGTTCTTCAAGCATGGGATATGTGACCCTGCCCCCATGGCTCCCTCGTGGAGAATGCTTTCTAGTTTGTCTTTGATCAGTGGTAAGTAGGCACCAGCTACCTGCCTAGTTTATTTTTGTTCTATGAGAAAACACAGAACACCTGTTTGTTAATAATAATCTCCTGTTCAGAGAGAATAAATATGTGGGTCAAAGTCTGCTTGAGGCTGTCAACGTGGAAGGCTGTTAGCTCCGACAGTCTCACTTTGCACTCTCTTTGTGTTTGTTTCTTAATTCCTTCAGCACCACCTGTGGGTGTGTGCATGTGGTGGGGGGGCGGTCTCTGTGACTGAGCTGGTCTCAGTAATCTGGCACTTTCTAAACTGTTTCATGGGTGTATAAGATGAAAGCCAGGGAAAGATGTCAGTTACATCTGTGCTTTCTCTTCACCAATAGCAAAAGCAGGATACAGTACACCATGGGAAAGACACTGTTGTAAGAATTACAGAGCAACCAGAGAGAAGAAAGCCTCCTGACCTCCACAGCCAGCATGATGTAGGCAATGATCAACTGGGTGTGGGCCCAGGTGAGGGTTCTATAGAACAGCCTCATCGGCCAGGATCTGATAAACCCATTGGCAAAGGAGTGAATCAGGTAGTCAGCTTCCACCATCACAGCCCAACAAAGGAAACCAAACACCTGTCCCGGATGGAGTCCATGCCACCAGGCAGAGAAGGCAAATGTCTGAAACAATGGCCAAGCCCTGCTGTTCTGGAATACAAGTCGTCGGAGCCATAGAGCTGTGCTTTGGTTCCACTTTCTTGCAAACACGGATATCCTGTGGGTTCTTTCCAGGGTCCAGATGTCTGCATCAGGGACATATTCCTCCTCTCCAGAGCTCTGACCAAGCTCAGACCCAAAGCCTGCTGCATGGAGGAGGGAGTCGTCCAGGATCCAGTGGGAGTAGTAGGTGAGCTTGAAGAGCCCAGCTGTGGTCCACATGACATAGATGCACTCGAATCGCTGGCAATCAGTCAGTCCCACTCCGGCACCCACCACCCTGCTCACAGCCACGTTTAGGCACTCTAGTCCAAGAATCTGCAGACCTCTCCAGCTCAGAGTCCAGAAAGAGCGGCTGGGATACAAACCATGGGACCCCTGAACACGAGCCTGAAATCGCCGGAAGGAGCACAAAGAGCCTCCCAGAAGAGCAGGGAAAAAGAGCAAGTAGCTGAAGTAGGGCAGTGCCATACACACATGCTCAGATAAAGAGCTCCTGCTCCTGATGATTCCAGATGCTGTCTCCACTTTTCCCTCACAAATGTCCAGAGAGAGGGACGTGACCCTCTGGGTCAAGAGCATGAGAGAAGAAAGAGTGATGCAGAATCTGCAAGAGAATTTTTTTTAAAACATAAAAACACTCTGTATTTATTCTCTCTTATTCCAGTCTGTTATACATGATCTCACAGGAAATAGACAGCTCTGCTCAGCTAAGATTAATCTCATGGCTTGCAGGACCCCACAAAGAGTAAATCTTAAAAGAAAATAAATAAATCTTATTTATTTATTTTTTTTTATAGAGATGGGTCTTGCTATGTTGCCCAGGCTGATCTCAAACTCTTGGGCTTAAGCCATCTTAAGTAGCTCAATTCGAGTGCATCTATGTCATGTGGACCACAGCCCGTCTCAACCTTCCAAAGTGCTGGGATTATAGGCATGAGCCACCACACCAGCAATATTTACAGATCTTAAGTATACAGTGGAGCTTAAGTCTAGAAAAATATACACCAAACTTTTAAGAATAGTTACCTCTAGGGAATGAGATTAGCCTAAGAAGATCTTTCACTTTTTGCTTTGTTTGAATTTTTTGTAATAATCATGTTTTATATAAATATGTGTATATCTGTGTGAATATGTGTGTATGTATGCATATATATTTTTTGTTTGTTTTAAAGAAAAGATTAGATGCACACATTTATACTCATGTTCAACTTGAGCTTCCCAGGGATCTCAGAGATCCATCCCATCTTCTATCCTGAAATCTTCCATTCTGAATAGGAGAATTTGCGTGGGAAGTTTTACTTTGACAGCTGAAGACTCTTGAATTAATTCAGAAGCACACACTACCCCAATTTGAAAGTTGTGAGAATGAAAATGGAATTATGGCTGGGTGCAGTGGCTCACACCTGTAATCCCACCAGTTTGGGAGGCCGACATGGTGGATCCCCTGAGCCCAGGAGTTCAAGGCTGCAGTGAGCTATGATTGCACCACTGCACTCCAGCCTGGGCATCAGAGTGAGACTCTGTCAAAAAAAAAAAAAGAAAGAAAGAAAGAAGAAAGAAAAGAAAGAAAGAAAGATGAAAGAAAGAAAGAAAAAGAAAGAAAAGAAAAGAAAAATCAAGTCACTTGTGTTAAAAAGGAAAACGAAACAAAACAATTCTGACAAACAGCCAAGGAAAGGTCTAAAGAGAGGGTTCTAAATGCTTGTATGTCTGATAACAGAAACTACCACAAAAGACTGCAAAAACCCTTGCAACCCTACACAAAAAAATACTTTTGTGTGATGCGATCACCTGCCCGGCCACTGCCTGCCCAACCACAGACTGGCATCACCCTCGTCATTGATCCTGTACTCAAAGATAATGATTTCAAAACAATTGTGTAACGCTTCTCATTTTTCCCTTAAAAATCTTTGCCTTCTTTTACCAACCTGAATATACACATAGTTTACTATGGCACACATATTCCCACTGTAATGCCCTATTCCTAAATAAGCATCATTTTTTCTTTTTGTTTCACTTTTTTTGGAGAAAGATTCTCGCTCTGTGGCCCAGGCTGGAGTGCAGTGGCACAATCTCAGCTCACTGCAACCTCTGCTGCCTCCTGGGTTCAAGTGATTCTCTCAGCCTCCCGAGTAGCTGGGATTACAGGTGCAGGCCACCAGGCCTGGCTAATTTTTGTGTTTTTAGTAGAGACAGGGGTTTGCCATGTTGGCCAGGCTGGTCTCAAACTCCAGACCTCAGATGATCCGCCAGCCTTGGCATCCCAAATTGCTGGGATTACAGGTGTAAGCCACTGGACCCAGCCATAAGCATCATTTTCTTTTCTTTATGTTTTTTCCTGATACACTGTCTCACTCTATCACCCAGGCTGGAGTGCAGTGGCACCATCTTGGCTCACTGCAACCTCTGCCTCCCAGACTCAAATGATCTTCCCAGCTGGGACTACAGACATGTGCTACCATGCCTAATTAGTTTTCGTGGGTTTTTTTGTAGAGATGGGGTTTCGCTATGTTGGCGAACTCCTGGCCTCAAGTGATGCGCCCACCAGAGCCTTCCAAAGTGCTAGGATTACAGGCGTGAGCCACCGCATCTGGCCCCATCATTTTCTTTTAGGGAGCCTCTTTCTGTTTGTTATTTAGGGTGACATCAGGTTGGATAAAGTAAATGGGGAAATTAAACATTAGTCAGAGATGCAAATAAAAGAATGACAAAGAACAATGTGGGAAATAATGATTATAATATTTCCAAGAAAGGCCGATAAAGATCAGGATCAGAGACCTGGGAGAAACTCGCCATAGAGGAGACAAAAACTATAGTGAAGGGAAGATAGGAAGCTGAAGATTTTCAATATGAACCAGACCCTGACTGTAAGACTCTGCCTAACGTGGGATTTGTACTGAGGAATGGATCACAGTATGTGCTCAGCCATTAGCAGTTGAAGTATAGTCTTAACCAATCACCTGAACTCTTACTGCTTTATCATCAAAGATCCTGCTGGCAAGATTACTGAGGAGAACAATGAATGAAAATTAGGCTGGGTGCAGTGGCTCACACCTGGAATCCCTGCACTTTGGGAGGCTGAGGTGAGGTGGGCGGATCACTTGAGCCCAGGAGTTTGAGACCAGCCTCGGCAACGTGGCAAAACCCCATTTCTACAAACAATATGAAAATTAGCCCTATGCGGTAGCGCATGCCTGTGGTCGCAGCTACTGAGGAGGCTGAAGTGGGAGGATCACTTGAGCCCGGAGGGTCGAGGCTACAATGGACCATGAGCATGCCATTATGCTCCAGCCTGTGCAACAGAGCAAGACCCTGTCTAACAAACAAACAAACAAGCAAAGCCTGTAATCCCAGCACTTTGGGAGGCTGAGGCGGGTGGATCACAAGGTCAGGAGATCGAGACCATCCTGGCTAACACAGTGAAACCCCGTCTGTATTAAAAATACAAAAGATTAGCCAGGTGTGGTGGCACATGCCTGTAGTCCCAGCTACTCGGGAGGCTGAGGCAGAAGAATCACTGGAACCCAGGAGGCAGAGGTTGCAGTGAGCAGAGGTCACTTCAGCCTGGGTGACAGAGCAAGGCTCCATCTCAAAAAAAAAAAAGGAAAGAAAATTACAATGACACACTCTACAGTCAGGAACTCGAACACTGTCCTGTGGAGAGAAAACAGTTTCCCAACTGCTGCTGTTTCTGTGTCTGAAGATTTAAGAAAAACTGACCAGCTTACTTGACTGATTCTCACTGAAAGCAAGGTAGCGTCCAAATGCCACCAACCCCTGGCTCCCTCACTCTCTCTTATGGACTGAATGTGTGTCCCCCAAGTTCAAGCGCTAACGGCCTCACCCCAGTACCTGAGAATATGTGGAGTGAGGGTCTTTAAAGATGTGATTAAGGTTAAATGAGGTCATTAGGATGGGCGTTAATCCAATATGCACGCAGTCCTTATCAGAACAATTAGGACACAGACACACACACACAGAGGTGAACATCATAAGGACCCAGGGGGACACTGCCACCTGCAAGCCACGAGAATGGCCTCAGAAGAACCCAGCCCTGCTGACACCATCATCTGGGACTACCAGCCTCCAGAACAGTGAGGAAATGAATTTCTGTTGTTTGAGCCACCCAGTGTGTGGCACTGTGTGATGGCAGCAGCCCTGCCCAACCAGCACAGCCTCCCATTCCAGGTCTGCTCCAGCCTCCCTCACATCCAGCCAGATCCTGTTCAACTTGCCCTCCCAGCCCCATCAGGCCCCGGCTCCCTACCGACGTCCTGATTCACTCCATCTCATTTGGTACTTCCTATGCCCCACCCACCTGCCATCTTGCCTTTTACTTATAGCAGCCAACCTAAAGACTTTCGTGAAAATAGTCTCTTTTTTGCTGAGACAGTGTCTCCCTCTGTTGCCCAGTCTGGAGTGTAGTGGTGCAATCTCAGCTCACTGCAGCCTCCGCCTCTCAGGTTCAAGCGATTCTCCTGTCTCAGCTTCTTGAGCAGCTGGGATTCCAGGCATCCGCCACTATGCCTAACTAATTTTTGTATTTTTAGCAGAGACATGGTTTTGCCATGTTGGCCAGGCTAGTCTTGAACTCCTGGCCTCAAGTAATCTGCCTGCCTCAGCCCCACAAAGTGTTGGGATTACAGGGGCGAGCCACCATGCCCAGCTGAAAATAGTCTTAATAGGAAAATTAAAAAAGGATTCTGGGTATAGTCAGGATGGCAAAACAAGTGAACCAACCGCAGGCTAGAATCAGATAGGTGACCACCTGGAGCATCACAGCCTCTGTGCTCCGAGGGACCCTGAAGCCAATTGTGATCATCAGAGAGAGCCAGGATCATGAGATCTCAAGACTGCAAAGGAGTGTTTCCCCCTCATCTCAGGGATCTTGCTGATTCACGATAACACTTCTCTAGATTGTAATTAGCTCTTGATTTCTATTTTCTAGATGGGGTGCCTACCCTTCTTCAGCAAGACAGGAACAGCTGAGTCTGAAGGAAGAAAAATACTGACACAGCACCTGCTTCTCCCAACAACCGCCATGGGAAGATTGATACCTGCAGGAGGAGTGTTCACTCAGCCCGTGCTAAGGCTGGCAGACGGTGCTGAGTCACTTCCGGGCAGGCCTCCTCTGCGGGCTCTGGGATTCCAGCTTCGCTCCCCCTCTCAGGCACAATGACAACTACAGCACAGTGCCAGACACTGCACTACATAGGCAGCACGTGGCAGCGATGATTAGTCACAGAATCCCATTTATATTCATTCTAATCAAACTGTCATTGCATGTATAACTGAGACAATGAAAGAGATCTGACCTAACAAACCCCATCTTGCTTCTAACCTCCAAGCTGTCCTTGTTCATTCCTGGGACTCATTTTGGGAGGAATTTAGTTTATAGTTTACAGTTTAAAACAAAGACAATCACAGCCCTATCCCAAAACAAACAGACTTCTTGCCTGGAAACTAGACGGCCTTTGTAGGACTAACAAATTAGCAAACGATCAGAAATTATGGCTTAGGAGTCATGCAGCTGGAGATGACAAGATTCTGACCCTCTCCAAATTGTTCCCGGGGATAACATTACTATCGTAAGGCCTACGATCAGTGCTTGAGATATTTTGCAGACCCTGCCCTTGATGGATCAGCTGGCACTACTCAGCTCGATAAACTGGCTCATCTTATCCTGCGGCCCCCACCCAGGAATTCACTCAGGGCAAGAAGACAGTTCTGATTCCCTATCATTTCATCTCCAACCCAACCAATCAGCACTCTCTACTCACTGGCCTCCCCCCATCCACCAAATTATCCTTAAAAACTCTGATCCCCAAATGCTCGGGGAAACTGCTTATGATTACCCCAAATGCTTAGAGTAATAAACTCCTGTCTCCCCGCACAGCCAGCTGTCTGTGAATTACTCTTTCTCTATTGCATTCACCTGTCTGTCTAGGTAGTAGAGAAGGTGAACCCATTAAGCAATTACACTAACATTCACAACAATCTTAGGCCGGGCACAATGGCTCACACCTGTAATTCCAGCATTTTGGGAGGCTGAGGCAGGCGGATCACAAGGTCAGGAGTTCCAGACCAGCCTAGCCAACATAGTGAAACCCCATCTCTACTAAAAATACAAAAATTAGCTGGACATGGTGGTGCACGCCTGTAGTCCTAGCAACCTGGGAGGCTGAGGGAGGAGAACCTCTTGAATCCAAGAGGAGGAGGTTGTGGTGAGCTGAGATCGCACCACTGCACTCCAGCCTGGGCAATAGAGCAAGACTCCATCTCAAAAGAAAAAAAAAATCTTGTAATTTTTTGCAAGTATTTTTAACCCCATATCTTTTCCCATAAAAAGAAATGAGTCTGAAAGAGGTGAAAGGACTTGCTCAAAGTCACACTGGTCAAATGTGGGAGAATTAGGATTCCAACCCAACACCCAGGTTCTCTCTGCTGCCACCATAGTGCAAGCAAACCCCAGGTAGACTGAGTACGACCAGTGAACAGGCTGCTTACCTCACGGAAGGAGGCTCATGCAGGAAATACTCAGTGTAGTGCAGACCCAGGTGACACAAGGTCTGCCAGCTCATCTGAAAGCAGAAGGTCCACTTGTGGACTTGCCATGGGGCTAGAGAACAGAGGAGAGCCACGGCACAGACAGCAGGGGTGAAGACAAGCACGGCATAGGGACCCATGGCAGCCACAGCCAGGGCGCCTCCTCCAGCCAGGAGAAAGAGGTACCTGAAAGAGAAGGGACACCCTGGGGAGAACGACTTAGAACCGTGAAGCACAGGAATCACTGCAAATGTCACTCCAGGGAACCCGCTGGGGTAGGCCCCACACAACACCTAGAGTAGCCACACTGTTAGCACTCTGGGGCCTTGCTTTTGTTCTTTGGAAGAAAAGAATCATGGGAGAAAGAGCCAGAAATTTGTAAACTTAAACTTCTGCCTTAGAGACAAATCTTTTTTTTCTTTTTCCTTTTTTTTTTTGAGACAGGGTCTCTCTCTGTCACCCAGGGTGAATATCGTGTTGCAATCATGACTCACCGCAGCCTTGACCTCCTGGGCTCCCCTCCTGGGAGAAACCACAGCCATGCACCACCATGCCTGGTTGACTTTTTATTTTTTTAGAGATGGGGTCTTGGTGTGTTGCCCAGTCTCAGACTCCTGGCCTCAAACTATCCTCCTACCTTGCCTCCCAAAGTGCTGGGATTACAGGTGTGAGCCACACCCTGCCCTGGAGACAAATCTCAATTCCTGCCTTAGTGGCCCTGGAACCTCTATCTTTGGTACCCACCATTCAAGTGATTCCTATCCAAGGTATTCCGTCGTCTGCCCCTGACAATCCTGGAAGTCTGGCTAGCAAGGACATCTTTGAAATCTCCTGGTATGTCGTCTGACTGAAGAGTGCTGTGAACCTAGTGTCAAGGATCTAGAAGAGCACCCTAGATGTCCTCTCATCAAGATGAGCGTCTTCCTTTTCATGGGGTTGTGCTACCCGGAAGCATTCCAGAGGCTGACAGAGAAAGGAGACTCTGACAGAGAAAGGAGACGCACACTTCCCTTTGAAAAGTGAAAACTCAGAAAGATCTTAATATCTACCCTTCAGCCTTACTACTGCACTTCAAGATCTTATGAGTTAGGATTTTGTTTTATACAAGTTTATACAGTTTAGGCCAGGCATAGTGGCCCACACCTATAATCTCAGCACTTTGGGAGGTCAAGGAGGGAAGATCACTTGAGGCCAGAGTTCGAGACCAGCCTGGGTAACATAGCAAGATTTCATCTCTACAAAAAACAATTTTAATAACCACTCATGGCCGGGCGCGGTGGCTCACGCCTGTAATCCCAGCACTTTGGGAGGCTGAGGCGGGTGGATCACGAGGTCAAGAGATCGAGACCATCCTGGTCAACATGGTGAAACCCCGTCTCTACTAAAAATACAAAAAATTAGCTGGGCATGGTGGCGCATGCCTGTAATCCCAGCTACTCAGGAGGCTGAGGCAGGAGAATTGCCTGAACCCAGGAGGCGGAGGTTACGGTGAGCCGAGATCGCACCATTGCACTCCAGCCTGGGCAACAAGAGCGAAACTCCATCTCAAAAAAAAAAAAAAAAAAAAAAAAAATAACCACTCACGGTGGCACACCTGTAGTCCTAGCTACTCAGAAGTCTGAGGTGAGAGGATCACTTGAGCCCAGGAGTTAGAGGCTATACTTGAGCCACGATCACGCCATTGCACCCCAGCCTGGGTAACAGTTCGAGATCTTCTCTCTAAAAAAAGCCATAAAGTTGTTACGGTTTATTAATCCTGTCATGAAAAATCTGCACAATCACCACAGATGAAGTCATTGCAGAATCTTTTTTTTTTCTTTTTTTAGATGGAGTCTCGCTCTGTTGCTCAGGCTGGTATATAGTGGCACGATCTTGGCTCACAGAAACCTCTGCCTCGCAGGTTCAGGTGATTCTCCTGCCTCAGCCTCCTGAGTAGCTGGGATTACAGGCACCTGCCACCACGCCCAGCTAATTTTTGTATTTTTAGTAGGGATGGGATTTCACCATGTTGACCAGGATGGTCTCGATCTCTTGACCTCGTGATCCACCCGCCTCAGCCTCCCAAAGTGCTGGGATTACAGGCTTGAGCCACCGCGCCCGGCCCTGTCCTGTTATTTCAAATGCTTCATATTCACAATGGGAATGAAAGTAGTTCCTGCTGGGCCGGGCGCGGTGGCTCAAGCCTGTAATCCCAGCACTTTGGGAGGCCAAGGCGGGTGGATCACGAGGTCAGGAGATCGAGACCATCCTGGTCAACATGGTGAAACCCCATCTCTACTAAAAATACAAAAAATTAGCTGGGCATGGTGGCACATGCCTGTAATCCCAGCTACTCAGGAGGCTGAGGCAGGAGAATTGCCTGAACTCAGGAGGCGGAGGTTGCGGTGAGCCGAGATCGCGCCATTGCACTCCAGCCTGGGTAACAAGAGCGAAACTCCACCTCCAAAAAAAAAAAAAAAAAAATTAGCTGGGCATTGTGGCACATGCCTGTAGTCCCAGCTACTAGGGAGGCTGAGGCAGGAGAATCCCTTGAACCCAGGAGGAGAAGGTTGCAGTAAGCCGAGATCGTGCCACTGCACTCCAGCCTGGGTGACAGAGTGAGACTCTGTCTCCAAAAATATATGTAAGTAAAATAAAATAAAATAAAATAAAAAATGTATCTGAGACTTTTCAATTTAATGGAAAATCATGTAGTCACATTAATAGTACACTCACCATTTCTGTTCTATATTCAGTTAAGTTCTTGCCTTCTGACTATGTTAAAAAATAAAATCTTATATGAGCAATCTTAAAAAAATAGGTACTGTCTCTAATGTGTTGAGGTTATTTGATATCAAAAAATCACCATCAAGTTGTCACATCTCTATAATTTTTGAACTTCACATTATCATATAGCTAATGTAACAAGATTCATTTTGACTTACTTCATTTCTCTGAGAATTCATATACAGGCACTTTAAAAATCACATTTATTTATAATACAACTTATACTGATGTAAGTTTATATAAAATTTGATTTGATTGAAAATGATAAAATTCCATGAAATTAGGACTATTCAAGAATGTTTGAGATCTGTGGTTGACAGAGATGTATCCACTGGGAGAATTCCTCTACCATTACAACAACCATCTCTCCTGAGAGTTTATTTTCATCCATTTGCCATTTAATGTGAACCCAGCAAACCTTATATCAATGCAGACAGGATGTGAATTTCCAATTTAGTTTTATTCTATTATACCTAGTAATTATCAAGCAATCGATAATCAGTGACAGTGATAGTAAGTTAAAAACAAGTGTAAGTAATATATCACAATCTTCACAACCGCAGTCTACTCTGCTTTTTGCCCTATTATAGTATTTCTGGGTTTTTGTGGTTTTTTTTTGGTGGGGAGGGATAGAGTCTCGCTTCGTCACCCAGCCTTACGCAATCTTGGCTCACTATACAACCTCTGCCTTCTGGGCTTAAGCAAGTCTTTCTTCTGCCTCAGCCTCCCGAGGAGCTGGAACTACAGGCCCGAGCCACCATGTCTGGCTAATTTTTTTGTTTGTTTGTTTTTTTAATAGAGACAAGGTTTTGCTGTGTTGGCCAGGCTGGTCTCAAACTCCTAGCCCCAAGTGATCCGTTCGCCTCAGCCTCCAAAAGTACTGGGATTATAGGCGAGAGCCACCGCACCTGGCCACTATAGTATTTCTGAATGAAGGAGTAAAAATAGCCATCTAGCCTACCTGGCATGAATGGAGAATGAATCCATGATGCAGAGATAATTGAACAGAAGTGCAAAAGGAAATGCAGCCCCCTGATAAAATGATACAGGATGGAGAAAGAACAGCCGAAGCCACTCCATTATGAACCAGAGCAAAAGATCCTGTCTTTTCCAATGTCCTTAATGGATGCCTTCCTCCAAGAGTAATCTTAGCCAGGCTCTCTCTGGTCTTTTTATCTGGTTTAGGGGTGCTAAGGTGAGCAAAAGGCAAACAAAAGCTCTGGAGATAAGCAGAATAAAAACTGGCTTTCTGATTGAGGAACTGCACTATGGAAACAAAAACCCATTTTGGTATGACATTATTAATGGCATGCACTAAGACCATTGCTTTTGGAAGCTGTGGTTGTGTTTCGTTTACCTAGCATACTATTTTATTTGCCTTTCCAGTCATTATGCTGTCATATTTTCCTCACTAAGTTACTGAAAAATCTCATTTCCCAACGTGGACAGACCACTCCCTGGACTGAAAGGGGGAAACAGGAATGTGATCAGGAGGAAGGGAAGCAGGTTCTGTTCTTTTTCTTTTTTTGAGATAGGGTCTGGCTCTGTCACCCAGGCTGGAGTGCAGTGGGGCAACCTCGCCTCACTGCAACCTCCACCTCCCCAGCTCAAGCGGTCCTCCCACCTCGGCTTCCTGAGAAACTGGGGGTACAGGCAGGTGCCACCACACCGGGCTAATTTTTGTATTTCTTTGTAGAGATAAGGTGTTGTCACGTTGGCCAGGCTGATCTGAAACTCCTGGGCTCAAGTGATCCTCCTGACTCGGCCTCCCAAAATGCTGAGATTACAGGCATGAGGAACTGCACCCAGCTGGAGGCAGGTTTTAAGGCAAAAACCAAGATTCTCTTTCCTCACCACAACTCTCCTCATTTTTTTCTATCAGTACTCCTTATTTATTTCTCAATTCATTTGCCTGCCCCCTTTACAATGGAGCTCTACAAGGAAAGGGCTTTGTTTTGTTGATTACTATATCCCTAGCACACAGAACACTGCTATATACTATATACTCAGTAAATATTTGTTTAAGTTTAAAAGATTTTGAGGAGGTCAGCCGTGGTGGCTCACACCTGTAATCTCAGCACTTTTGGGAGGCTGAGGTGGGTGGATCATCTGAGGTCAGGAGTTCGAGACCAGCCTGGCCAACATGGTGAAACCCTGTATCTGTTTAAAAATACAAAAATTTAGCTGGGCATGGTGGTGGACATCTGTAATCCCAGCTTCTTGGGAGGCTGAGGCAGGAGAATCGCTTGAGCCTGGGGGGACGGGGGCTGCAGTGAGCCAAGATCACGCCGTTGCACTCCAGCCTGGGCAACAAGAGTGAAACTCTGTTTTAAAAAAAAAAAAAAAAAGCCAGGCGCGGTGGCTCAAGCCTGTAATCCCAGCACTTTGGGAGGCCGAGGCGGGTGGATCACGAGGTCAAGAGATCGAGACCATCCTGGTCAACATGGTGAAACCCCGTCTCTACTAAAAATACAAAACATTAGCTGGGCATGGTGGCGCGTGCCTGTAATCCCAGCTACTCAGGAGGCTGAGGCAGGAGAATTGCCTGAACCCAGGAGACGGAGGTTGCGGTGAGCCGAGATCGCGCCATTGCACTCCAGCCTGGGTAACAAGAGCGAAACTCTGTCCCAAAAAAAAAAAAAAAAA